TGTTGGAGTTTTCAGATTATGAGATAACATTCCTTTGATGGGAGTCTGTTTTCCACAACACAAGCAGTGATTTTTTGGCACCACAACATACAATGGTTTAGGACACCGAATATAGTCAATAATATTTTAAAGTAAACAAATAAATAAATAAATAAATATATATATACACACACACACACACACAAATGTAAAAATGTATCATCATTTAATGATAAATTAATACAGAATCATGTTTCTTGAGCATAAGCAGATTTACAATTTAACTAATTCTGATCAACCAATTTTAGCTATGAAGAAAAGTAAATTACAGAAATTGCAGGTACAGATTTATAATGCAATGGCACTTTGACTTCAAAGTGAAAGTATGCAGAAAGTTTGTATTAGAAATACAGTATGCATTGAGGTGTCTTACCTTCACCAGTAGTTCTACGGACTTATTGTTAAAAAGAGGTTACACAGATCTTAAACCTCCTGTGCAGAACTGTGTGGAGTAAGTGACAGTGATAATATAGGCATTACTTTGAAGGCAGGCTTGATGTTTCTATTCCTGGTTATCACTAAACTACTTCACAATCCAATGTGCTCTCCATATATGTATATTCATAGCCTGAACAAAAGCATTCTTTTGAAACACTGATAGTCAAAAGGACAAGATGTATGTTAAGCTTAGCAGACAGGTTGACTTTATAAGGAACACTAAAAGGCTTACCAGCTAGAATGTTTCAATAATAGGGAAAAAAACAGAATATTCTGGGCGTAATGGTTATTAACCAGTTGACATCCGCGGTGTTAAACCCCCTTCCCATCCAGGCCATTTGTCAGTGTTCAGCGCTGCGGTGCTTTGACTGACATTTATTCCGTCATGCAACGCTGTACTGAAATGAATTTGATACCATTTTTTAGGGGACAGATAGAGCTTTCTTTTGGTGGTATTTAATCAGCACTGGGGCTTTTATTTTTTACTATATTAAGGAAAAATTACTGAAATTTTACAAAAAAAACTGTTTCCCCTATATTAAATGATAAAACATTTATTATTACCCACATTTTTGGTAAAATATAAAAGAGAGGGTCACGTCGGGTAAAAAGACACCAAACATGTCAAGCCTTAAAATTGCGTGCACGAGCGAAACCTCAAAAACCGATAATACACAAAATTGGCCACAGGCGACGCTTTAAAAGCTTTTACCGCTCATCAGTTTAGTGTTATCAGTGATTGATGGCCCTAAAATTATTGCTCTCACTGCGACGTTCACGGCGGTATGTAACGTGTGTAGCGCAATTGTCGTTTTCGCGCGCTGGTGCACCGGACGCATATTTACGTTTATATGTGCGTAAACGCAGGGGTAGAGGAGTTAAACATTTGGGGGGGGGTTACTTTTTTTATATGTGACTTTTATTTATTTTTATTTAAAAAAAATGTTTTTGCACTTATTGTTATTGCTATTATATAGGGGCATAACAATCCCCCTTAACTTGGTCTGAGACTGTATGTACTGGGCACATGTAAACTTATATTTATTGGACGCAGTGTTTATTTAATAACGAGATACAATTTTATCTTATTTAACCAATGTTTAATAAATTCTGATATAACTTGTACATATGCATCGGTTGTATATATCTCTCTACAAACCCTTTTTCTCCTATTTTTTCTTATTCAATGTACCTTAAGGGGAGAGATTGCACACGGTGCCAATGCTGAGGCAATCCACAAGTTTTATTTCAATTTGATTTTGCTTACTGCATTTCAATATTTTATGAAGCCAATACAGAGTTTATGTTATGGTTTAGTATGGTATGAATGGTATGGTATATTTAGTATGAAATTATGTACAAGAACAAACAGGGGACGCGCCCTTTTCTTGTGTGATAACATTTATTTAATGTCAAATAAATACAGGTAAAAAACTACTCACATGTATATGATGGAGACAAGTGAAATAGTGGACCCTACATGCAGGGCAGAGACAAAATCCTGACGCGTTTCGGGAAAATCACCACTTCAGAGCTAAGCTACAGATACTCCCAGTTAGAATATATAAGCTATGAGGCGAGCATGTGACCCTAACTATACCCAATCACAGCAGGAGCAGGAAGGAACCAATCAGATGTAAACTACAATGGAATGACAGCGCCCAGACATCGTTTCAAAATGAAGGAAGCCAGCAATCACAAGGAAAACTGAGTAAAAGTGTAAATAGACTGCCAGAAATACATGAAACGCCATAACATACCTTGGTGTTTCTGGCATTCAAAACCGCCGCCACAACAGCATTCCTCCACCAGTTATATCACAATGAGGACTGTAGAGGCAGCATCACTAACAGTGGCGGGAATCAGAAAGGAGGAGCCAAGTACCATCATATCCTGGGAAGTCAATCAACACAGACGGGGGCTAGCCCCACTAGGCAAGGGGCTGGACTATGTAAAGTATAATGGAGGGGTAATCTAAACTGTGGGCGGGAATTGACAGGACCACATCCGCCCTCTGTCATTTGAGTCAGAAAATATGCCGGGCTGGCTACTGCTGTTATACGAGTGTACAGACTAACTAAAGGACTGTCTGGTAATAAGGTGAAACACGTACAACTGCGGTAAAGCTCAAATTTATATACCAAAGGAGAAGCAGGTTTATAGGGAGCTGTATGGGTCTGTACCTTACAATACGTCTATTCGCTGAGCCTAAGCCAAGTGAATACAGACAAAAGTATGTGTTAACTGGCTAGGGGAAAGGAAAATATGGACCATTTTTATGCTTTGTTAGCCTTTTAACATGGAGCTATACAAATTGTTAATTTCTTCCATTCTCCTAGAATGAGTTTAACCGTGAGGGTTTAGGGAGCATTCAAAGCTGGGTGTTTTTTTGTTTGGGTACTCCTTTTTTAGTTAGCCTAGTGGCCCATTATTTTACATGGAATGCATGGTGATTTCCAGTAGTCTTTTTCTGGAGGTATGACTGTCTGTCTTCTTTTACCCTAGTTTGTTTTAAATTTCTTTTAAAAGTTTTGAAAAATGGCTGCATGCAAAGGTGATGGGCTGTGCCTTTTGGAACTTCCCTGTTGCTTGTAAATAAATGTAAATGGTTTGAGTGTCTGCAGCATTAGCAGACAAAATGTGATACAAAAGCGCCAGAGACAATCATTCCTCACAGGAATGTAGTGATATGCATAATTGCAGGACGCAGCCCCACTACAGTCAGGGAGACTGGGACATCTAGAAGGAAGCACATAGAGGAGGGACGCGTCGACATCTCATACACCGGCATACAGGGCATGTTACACGGATTTCCCATCGCTCCGTTTTGTTTATTGTCCCATGGCTCGTTTACATCCTACTCTTGTGAGTACATCTAATGTATGTGGTTTTTACCCGTCATTGAATAAACGTATCTGCATCAGGAAAGGCGCCCTCCTCTTTGTGCTGCCTTCTGTCTGCAGCATTAGGTTATAATGGATACAACATCCATATACAGTATACGTGTTTATATTTTGTTTTCTGCTTCAGTACAGTTTGTATTATTTTTGTACTTTTGTATAAAATGTTGCTTGATGTTTTTTTTTTTAAATAATAGATCAGCTGTAACAGGACCATAACCTGTTCTCTGCTAAACTACCATTCATCCAGTTAAAAACTGTAAATTCTGTTTTAGAAATTTTCAACTACAAAGGTGGCTTCTCTAACTAGGACTATTAAGACTGAATTAATTAAGTCTTTGTGAAACATAACACAGGGTTGCGCATCCCTATCCTGCCTTTGCAGATACTTTATGTGACATTTCAGTTAACAGTACCTAAATTGATATTTAAAGTCAAAAGGAGTTTAAGCTATTTGAAATGTTGATTAAATAATTTACAATGGATGCTGCTCCTTGATGTTTAAAAGTTTTAGTTCCCTGCAGAATCAGCTGGTCTCCTGAGCACTGGTCCTGACTTCCTGTTTTAGAGTGACTCCTTTCTCAAGTGGAGTGCTATGGAGTCACCCTTGTGTGTGCTAGTGAGCTGTGTGTGTCTCCACAAACACACAGAGCAAATCAAGCTGCTACTCTTCCCCCTGGCTCCACTCTCCTCCCTCCTCCAAGCTAGTAGATGGATAGTGGCTGGAGTCTGCACTGGGGATCCCTGGTTTAAATCCTCAGCCAGGTCACTATCTGCAAGGAGTTGCATGTTCTCCCTGTGCTTGCGTGGGTGTACTCCGGTTTCCTCCCACACTCTAAAAACATGCTGGAAGGTTAATTGGCTCCCATCTAAATTGGCCCTGTATGTATGCGTGTGAGATAGGGACCTTAGGTTGTAAGCTCCTTGAGGGCAGGGACTGATTTGAATTTGGAACTATGTAAAGTGCTACGTAAATTGTTTGCGCTATATACATAATAATAATTAACACTTTGTTGCAAAATGTCATCGTCAATGTCATTTTAGTGGATCTTCTGTGGATTTTGTCTAAGGGTTTGTGCACACAGACATTTAAAATTTGAGATCAGTTTGTATAATGTTTTTATTCTTTCATACAGGCCAGTTTGAGTGCTATAAAAATACATAGCAAACTCATAACAAACACATCTCAAATACCCATGTATGCTATCTTTAACACTGTAGAAATTTGTGACTGATATGCGAAAAATGGACCACAGAAATAAAGAGACTAAAAATTAAGAAAGTTGTCTATCCAACAAAACGATTATTTTATCCACAGGCAATCTTCATTGTTTACACATTGAACTATTCAGGTGTTTGGTAAAAGGCCATACATTACATGTCATTTAGATCAAATATCTGCTGAGAATACATGTAAGCAATATTGCATTGTGTAACTTTAATTTTACAAACATCTTCAGCCTTTTAAAAACATAAAACACATGTGGAATTTACTTTATTTCAGTATATTCAAGCAGGCAATCTGATGTACAACAGGAGAAGAAGGAATGTTTTCAGACAAGAGAAAGTGAGGTAATTTAATGATAAGTAAAACTGTAAATGTAAATACTTTTAGGACAGGATCTTCTAGAATAATATTTGATCATTTTGGCATAATTCCTTGCATGTTATGGGCAGATATTTTTGGCCGATTTCAGAGCTGAAAAAGGTGATAAAATAATTTCGTTAACAAATTAAAACATACATTAACTTAGATACTGTATTTGTGTTTTGTTTCTAGGAACATATTTTTCAGTTAGTGAGTAAATGTGGTCCTCTGAAGAGGCCTGACACTGTGCTGGTCTCTAATCTAAAATGTTATCCGTAATGCAGAATTTGGAATTCTTGTGATGGGAATGGTTGCTTAAGTGACTATATAGTGGTATCTCCAGATAAATGGAGTCCAGGGAATGTACCCAATTGCTGTGGACTAAAGATGCACATAAAATGCCAAATGTGCGATAACTAGAGGTACACCAAAATGGAATTTTCAGACGCAAATCTGGAGTAAATTTTCAACTAGAGATGCACCGCAATTTCGGCCAAACAATTGTACTTTCAGCCTTTTGCCCAAAGTACCATTTTCGGCTGATATGTTTCGGTGCATCAGTAGTGATAACAATTGTGTGATAACAGTTATTTTGACATGCTCATAAAGCTGTCACACTGTTAACACATAGAGACACACATATTCGTAAAACACAAAATAAGATTTTGTGTAATCGGCATGTCCATACACAAATAACAAAATAATGCTCAGTCATGCTGTGAATATTCTGTTTACTGAAAAGACATTATTTAATACCTGACAATAGAAAAGGAGGATATTATATGTATTGAATCATCATTCAATTTCCAAACTCGGTGTATTGCTAGCTTAATCCATTTGGCATGAACAGGAGTACGAATGTCAGGACAAATTTGGGAAAAATTGACATGGGCTTTGTTTTCTATCAAAAATAATATAAAAACTACAAAACACTAATCCTTAATAATATAATGCCTAATTCAGTATTTATTTTTTTGCCACTGGAAAATTCTGCCTCCTTTCTCTTCCACTCCCTACTTCTGCTCAATTTGCCAACTGGACTGTAACAAAAGTAGTGTGAATCCCCTCCAATCCAATACTGTTCCAAAATCCTGCTCTCCTTCCCCTGTCCCTGGCCAACACAACATACCAGACCCCAATCACTCACCCTACCGAAGTGCCTGCTCTTCTTCCCCCATCACCACCTTGTCCATTTTGCATATGGCGCAATAACAGAAATACAGTACATGCACCCACATTACAGCAGTAGAGAAAAGACTTTGCAGCCTATATAGAGCTTGTCAGCAGGAAACACAGGCAGCTCTCACTGCCCCTGTGTTGTCCCTTTAAAGCAACTGTCCACATTTGAGCCTGCTATCATGGGCCATGTTGAGGACTTCAGCATCAGGAGGCTCTGACTGAACAATGGTGAGTGCCAAGTGGTGCTACTTTGGACAGCTTACACTCACCTGGGAGAGGTCGGGCATGTGGTGTCAGTGGGGCTATAAAAAGTTTTGCAGTGCTTGTGCGGTAGCCAGGCCCAGCATCATGAAGAGTGCTGAAGTAGATGAATGGCTGATTCCTGTGGCACTTTTCATGTTGTCCATAGTCAGTCCCTTGTTTCTGACGTGCAGTCCGGGTGAGCGTACGGCCGCATACTACCATAGAGAAGAACAGGCTGCTGCATACAAATCACACGCAGCACCTGTCCTTCCCTGGAGCGGCTCGATACGGCTGTGCATGCAGCACGGATCTGTACGGGCCGGCTGTTAGTCGTGTGAATGAGGCCTTATACTCTAACAAGTAAATGAACACAGCATACTAGCAGTGCTGGGTTTTCCTATTAAGTCAAGCAGAGTGTTATGGAGGCACCCAGTATAAAGGCCACATTTACACTTGCGAAGGGGCTGATTGGGTGAGTCTCTTCAGCAGCCGTTCGTAGTTGTTTTTATGTAATTAGACATGCTGTGATTACCTGCGGATAATCACTGATGCACACAAACTGTTTGTGTACAGGGGCAATCATCTTCAGGTAACTAGGTAACTGCAACATGTCTGACTACATGCAAATGGCCAAGAACGGTGTTTGTACGAGTCTTACAGAGCAATTCGTGAGATTCATGCAGTTGGCCCATATCCAAATATGAATTGTGCCTAAATGTTTTCTGTAAAATAATGATTTCATACCAAAAATTAAAAATGATAACAACATCCTTTTTTATAAACTAACAGGGCTATTCACTAAATGGTGAAGAGTTTGGAGAAGGCAGGAGAAGTGAACAATCTAGGACAGCATAGCTGAACTGGAAAGTGAGCTGAATTGGAGAATTTTTCCATATCAGTTATGTTGGCCTAGATTGTTCACTTCTCCTGCCTTCTCCAAACTCTTCACCATTTAGTAAATAGCCCTGTAAGTTTGTAAATTTAACAAAAATGAAAAACAATTGGAGATTCAGTTTAAAACTGCTTTAAAACAGCTGATTTTCTTACTGCAGGAGGCAGCAAAACATAGTAAATAAACTGCAAGATTGTCTCCGCCTGAACAGCTTATATACCTGTATGTGTGTGTGTGTGTGTGTGTGTATATATATATACACACACAGGGTACAGCTGATACACATGTGAGGAGCCCGGGCCCCTTACATGGGTATCGGTCATACAAGGCGCAGCATGGCAGAGGAGACAGGGGAGGAGTTGGAGGCGGCCAGGCTGCCGGGGCCCCAGCAGCGCCAGCCCAGTGGACTGGTGGATTTGATTGGGGGGGGGGGGCCTAAAGCTGTGTAAGGGGCCCCAAATTTTCTGATGGCAGCCCTCTCTGTGGCAATACCATAGTAAAATGTGACATAATAGTCACCCAGCAGTTCCAGGAAGCAATTACTTTTACCAGGAAAGAGCTGTCCTTTCCATGTTTTCTGGATTATGGTTGGGATCCTGTAACCGGGAGATTTCAAAGAGACTTGGGAGGGATGAAATCTCCATTCCTGGGTCCGTAGTGTAATAGTAACCAGCAACCAATAATTGCACACCTATGCACAACCCTTATGAAAAGGGTGCTGGCAAATGTTCAGGGCTCCACCTGGGAGACATGAGGACTCCACCCAGGAGTGGAGTCCAGTGCAGCAGGGAACTGCGGGTTATGAACCGATTGTGCAGGATAGCACAATGTCAAGGTTGCCTGGAGGGAACAGACAGTGGCGTAAGGTCTATGGACGGAGCTGCAAGTGTAAAGCCAGGAGGCTGTATGTTCATGTGTTTGTGTTGCCAAGAGATGCTGAATAACCCCTGCAAGGGTAACTGCATTGTTTTTGTGAACTTTCTTTTCTTAAAAGTGGGCAAGGAAGCCCTTAAAAGAAAATTTCAGCGAGTGAATGCATTCTTAAAGCTCTACTATTTGAAGCTAAACCTCACAACATTTATTAGTTTTAATTAATCCTATTCACTAGGAATATAGGATTTTGTATTTCAGATGCCTGCACAACTGTGTCCAGTAGTGACGTAGATGGCATATCAGCTCACCTAAATGCTTCTTACCTACGTACAATAACAAGCAGGATTTAAACGCAGAAATCTGTGTTGCAGTTGCTATATTTCTGGATTGTGTATGTTTGCCATTATGAGGGTGATAAAACACTTGTGCTTTGCAGCAACTTGTGAGCATTTTTGCAATGCAGCTTATCTGCTATATGTGCTACATGTTGAGTAGCTGAAAATCAACTTATAGTTACATATTATCAAAGGGGAAGCACAGAAGAGTTTTCCTAAAACAGAAGGTGTCCACCTGTCACACTTCCAGCACAAATCTCAGAACAAAGAGTTAAAATCTGGTTTACAGAACAGATATAGCTATTATGAGTGGGCCCACTCACAATAACCTGTCTAATTACACTTTCTCCTTCCTCCCTGATCTCATACTCCATAAAAGCCATTGTTTATTTACACTGCTATGATGAAGGGCAGCAAGCCTGGAACAGCTGTATACAATTTAAAATGCATGGCTCTCTAATATTAAGCTGTATCTATACTATAAACCAGTGGTTCTGGATGTACAGTTTTCCAAGGGACACAAAGGAATGATTTCCATGGCTCTACCCACTATTTTAAAAGAAAAGACAAACCCACTATTTGGGCGTTGTGATGAAATTGTTGTACATACCTTTTGTTTTAGGAAGTATCTGCTGTGCTTTTTTACCAGTACAGTACAATGGAGTTTCTTGTTCCCCACCATAACCTGCATGGTCACGTTATCATGGGGAAAAAGGTTGTAACAGAAATTATAGGCTAAATCCATCCTTTTAGTAATGAACGTCTACATTTTATATGGCAAATCTACATTTTTGGACAGAAGTGCAAAATTGCAGACAAGTCTGTTAATCTTACCTTTGTGTCACTTGAAGACTGGGATCTCTGCTGCCACAACATTCTTTTTGTGGCCACATCCCCTGTTTTAAAACCCTGTAAAAGATATTTAAAATAAAAAAATAGAAAATACTTAACTTTTAGAGCTGCTGATATTATTTTTTATTTTATTGTATATGCCCTTTACCTTTGTGCTTGTACTAGTGCTTGAGCTTTGTGGCACTTTGTTACTCCATTGATTGATGCGTGATGTAACAGATCCAGAAAGCGCTAAATCCTGAGAAACATGACATAGTGTGACATTGTTTTAAGAAAGCAGGGTTTATGGATTAGCAAAAAAATATCTTCATTAGAATAATCACAATTAGCAGTATAAAGTCTTATGTATCACATGAACAGGGTAACTTTCATCTGTTACAGCAGAGCTGTACTCTAATTCAGAGGCAATTAATCTTGCTTGGTGGTTCTTATTGCTGACTCCTTAAGTCAGTACAGGTCACAACAGTTGTGTAGGAGTAGCATTTGGCATGGTGGGGGCAGTGGGAGGGGTAAATGTTTTTTGTTGCATTTTTGCAGGGAGACTATGAGGGCCTTGTGAACATGGTCATATCATTTTTTCCGCAGGATCTTGCTGGCAGCAAGATCCTGTGTAAAAAGTTGTCAGTACTGCATCTGAACTCATATAGACCTACAGCACTTATATCGTATGAGCTAAGGTGCATACAGGGTTGTATGGCCTTTACACTTCTTCCCTGCCTAGTGGATGACTCGTACAAGTCATTTACTAGACAGTGCCATTGGCAGGCTGGCATGTAAACAACAGTGTTTAATCAGCAAGCCCCTGCCACCGCAAATTACGCACCGTTTACATATCATTCATGCAGTGGCAGCGCATGAATATTCTATAACTTTTTTAGAATAACTACTCAAGAGACAGAAATCCTCACCTTTCGGGATATGTTTGATTTATCAGAGTTTTCTTCATCCTTTTCAAAGATATTTCTCTTAGAAGCAACTCCATCCAATGTGCCAATAGCTGCTCGACTGTGAGAGGGTGGTATCCTGACACTCGCTGATCTCTGAAAACATGTGTTAAATGTATTGTAGCTAATCATAAAATCATAACTGACTTTATTCTCCATAAATTAAATTGTAAATTTCTGTTTCCCTGCATAGAAACATGTCTTAAAAAAGAATTCTTATCTATGTAAACATTTTTACATTTTCTATTTAATGAGCCAGTTGGGTTTCTAAATATGCAAATTAGCCTATAAACGAAAAAATTGAATATCTCATTTAGAGTAAGTGTGAGCCATCTACTAGTGACAGCTATGAAAAGCTAAAAAACACACATTTGCATAGTTAAAGTGACACTTTACTCAGGAGTTAAATCTTAAAAATACATTCAAGTACCTTACCTAGTAACAAAAATTTAGCTTATTTGTGTATCACTCGGCCGTAGATCCTCAAATCATCTCTGAATTGGTGCTGACACTGTCCTTCCTTCTAGAGGGTGGCTACTTTTGTTCCCCATGGTCCAAATAAGCTACATTTTTGGTAATAGTTAAGGTACTAAGATTTAACTCCTGTGTTTAGTGTCACTTTAAGTAGTTTGAAAGACACATGTCCATCAGGTTCAACAATCCAAAGATCAAGAGGCAGCAAAAACTATTCAGATTTTGTTGATATGTATTTAACACATTTCAGTACCATCAACTTTTAGTAATTTAAATCACCAAATTATAATAAACTAATAACAAATATCATTACTAAATAAAATATAATATGTATTCAACCATATAAGTTACATTTCCTTTTATTCCTAGAAATGTGATTCCCATCAAGAATGTAGTTCCCACAGTGATTGACTGATTGATTTATTCCCCTTTAGTTTAGTTTAAAAGAACATTGAAGAAGTGTAATCAAAATTATTCATCCCCCCAATGGTGTTTCCAGTGACTGAACCAGGCCTCCGTGAAGGAAGAGACACAAGGCAACGGCCATCTCCTTTGATAAGTAAACAAAGGAAACCCACAACAAAGTTGCATAATTTACTTTTTGAAATTAAATATCGATAGCCTTGATACTGTTGATTGGGTCCCAGGCAACTATCTTGATTATCAAATGCAGGTCCAATCCAAAGGAAATCTGACCTAAGGAAAATATGAAGTAGGAATTCACCGTTTTTTTTGGTATCGAGTACCGTTTTTTTTTGTTGGTACTTGCCGATACCAAATACCGATATTGGAAGTCGCATTTAGGAAGTCGGCCTGCGCGTAATGACTCGCCGCCCAGCTTCCTGATTAGCTGGGAAGCCGTCTCCATGCTCCCTTTTCAGGTCACACCATGGACCCATCCACACCTAATTTTTAACAGGTCAGAGGTTCTGAAGTAGTCACAATATATTCCACATCTATGCAACTTTGGAAACTATAGTACTTAATATTAGTTACACATTAAAATGTTCTGATAGTGGAATACCCCTTTAATAATCACTCCTAAAAGTATGGCATAAAATACCTGTATAGCTGAAGTGTATTTTTCCATACGATCTTCTATTTTTTGACTTCTTAGAGACAACCTTAAGCTGGATCTATATAGATAGAAAGTTGTTAATTGCAGTCACAATGACCAAGATCGCTTTACAGTCATTAGTAACCAGGCATATGAAACATAATTTTCTTGCGATTAAGAATCATATTCATCAGATAAGCAGGCTGAAATATTCTACAATATTAACAGTAGCCAAACAAAAATGCAACAAATGTTTTGGTCTTATAGCTCTTATAGGCAGCAAAATACATTAACCCCATTCACACATGCGAATGGGGCTGATCTCATGAGTCATGCAAATTAATTCTGTATAATTCAATGACAACTGACACTGTGCACAGCTGTTTGCAGGCTGTCAAGTAACCACACTCAAAGCCATACAAAGCTACCCACTTTGTGAAATATATATATATATTTTTTAAAGTGCAAGGGGTAGTAATCCTCATCTTTGGCCAAAAGGTTTATTATTTAACTCTTTAAAATGATCCCTACCTTCTAGTGAGGTCTTATGAGGTATCTACTGAGGAGAGCATCTAAAGTTGGCCATACTCTGCTCGAAAATTCGACCAGTGTGTGGTCCCGCTGGTATCCCTCCATTTGCCGAAAGTCGATTTCTTAATCAACTTTTGTTGAAGGAGATACCGGTAGTCAGAAAACTCTCAGCTGAACAGTGACTGGTTTAGGTACTCTGACAGTGGCACACCTGTCTAGCATGGATGCCTTTTCTAATATACAGACCACAAATTGAGGGTCTGTTATAATTAATACAGCTATTCCATGCTAAAAAAAAGAACTATCCCATACATATGCAGTGTTTATGCAAGTAAATTGAACATAGAGAAACTTTGAGGTAAAATACCAAACGCCGTTAAATGAAAATAAGAGAAATGACCGTATGGGATAGGTCTATTCGCTGGTACAACTACAATGAAATTACTTTTGGATGGGATGTAAGTTTGTTTACATGACCTTTTATGAGGAAATCTTCTTTAAATCATTTTGTTCATTATTTATTCATTCCATTTCTCCTTCTAGATCCAATTTGCGCAGCAGTTTTATAGTAGCCCATCCAATTATACTCATAGGCACACTACATGCTGCACTGTGTGGATATTACTTCTGGTTATCATGGAATACTCTGTTTACATGTTTGGTTTTTGATTGTTTCAAATTGTTTTTACTGTGTAAGGCTTTCAGATATAAATCTACTTACTTGTCATTATTTATTGTAATGCCATATATATTTATGGGTTTTACTTGATTTAATTCTATATCCAGTCAATGTTTTGATCATGCAGTGCAGGGGGCTTTGTAATACAACTGCTTTATCTGTATTGCTTGGGGCATTCTACTGGTAAGGACAGTCCAACACACAAAGGTCATCTGCCTTTCACATGTCAAGTTTCAGTTTACACCCGAAAATATATAAGCTGCACTCATCACCCACTGCAGATCATTATTTTTATTTTGAAACTATGGAAAATTCCAAATGTACTATGGTATCTATGGTAAAAATTGCCTATGGCAAACACTGAAATTGCGCCCTTGTCCAAATATCTGACACCACAGTTCTGGCACACCCAGACACACATAGAGACACTAGAGCTGCTGGTCCTGTAAGGTTGGTGCAGAATAAGGAATGTACAGCACAGTGTACAGAATGAAGCAGTACGGAATATAACATGTACAACAAGGTGTATCAATGAGGCAGCATGGACTAGGGAACATACAGCATGGCATATGAAATGAGGTGTTGTGGAATAGGCAATGTACAGCATGGTTTACATGTAACAGCAGCGATTGGCTGCACTGTCTGTCACTGTGGGTCTGTGCTGATGGGAGGTCTGAATGAGGCACAGCTTAAATAAAGAGGCAAACACCACCACTGTCCCTGAGTGGTGCGGCGCCCATACTGAATTATGTGCTAGGCCATTATGTTTTTTAGTATAGTCTACCTGTGCATTATATTCTAGAAATATGTGAATATCTGTGAATTTAGGTAAACAGACAGACCTGCGTGTGAAACCGCTGTCATCCTTGTCATCCTTGTCATCCTCAGCCTGAGACCTTACCTGAAAGATAGAACATCAGCAATTAGGAATAATTTTGCAAACTTGAACACTTGAAAGATAAAAAAAACATATTACTCACTCGAACAGAGCTGCTGAGACGTCCAAGCCGTACAAAGGATGTTGATGTCTGCTGAGAACTAGGAAGGCTTTCCTGCAGAAAACAAATCAAACATTGATATAGCCTGCCACCTGATTGTTAATTTCTGTATATTCTGTTCCATTGTAACTAGATGTCTTATTAATAGCTGTCTAAAATGATTGAATAATTGCTGATGTGGTGATTAAGGTTTAAGCTTCAGAAGACAGAATAAAATATATTGTATAATTGAATCTGTTTGTGAACAAAGGACAGTGTCACTCTTATGAGCAAAATAACTTTTATTCTGTCTTCTGAAGCTTAAACCAAAATACCACATAAGCAAAATACCACATAAGCAATCATTCAATCATTTTAGACAGCTATTGATAAGGCAGAATCTAGGCATATAGCTATACACAGCTAGAAATCACTTGATTTCCACATTCATGTTGAACAACGTAGATGGAGGATTGTCCCCTGGCAGCTACTGTATTCAGACAGCTAGTACCTATAGATTTCTATCTCATTAACGGTGACTGCATTTGATTGGATACAGTCACTATTCGGCTGACAATTTTCCACCTGGCTCCTTTGCTTTTTCATTTAACTTTGGTGGTACCGACAGGGCCATCCATGGCTCAAATTTCTGCCAATTCTACAGGAATATGTCAAAATGTAACCTGTGTATGGCCAGCTTTAGTTTTGTCATTCTGCTTAAATGGACTTGCACATTCCTTCCTCTTGCTTTTAATATATAGTATATGTTAAATATACATTTAGTATATAACAAATAACCTGGTGCCTATTGATCAGCCTCCTTGACAGTCAAGGGTCTTATTCAGGAAGTTGTCTGCATGTCTATGACAAAACTGGCCCTAGCAGCTGGTTTTGAAAAACTGAATATACTGATGTAGTGTTGTAGGGATGTCCCGATACCACTTTTTCAAAACCAAGTACAAGTACTTTCCCTCAGGTACTTGCTAATACCAATTACCGATACTTACCAATACTACCAATTACCGATACACTAGGGACTTATATTGTAAAGCGCTGCGCAAACTGTTGGCGCTATATAAATACTATGTAATAATAATAATAATGTGAAATTTTTTATAAAACAATACAGACTAATGATTTTAGGGCAGTTGCTCAGTAGGGCTGCATCCAGATGTCACCAGGCTGAGTCCAGATGTCACCAAGCTGTGTACAGATGTCACCAGGCTGCGTCCAGGTATCACCAGGCTGCATCCAGATGTCACCAGAGCTGTGTCGAGATGTCACCAGAGCTGCATCTAGATCTCACCAGGCTATGTCCAGATCTAACCAGGCTTCGTACAGATGTCACCAGGCTGCGTCCAGATGTCACCAGGGCTGCATGCAGATGTCACCAGGACTGCCTATGGGTCTCTCCAGGGCTCTGCGGGCAGGTGCTGGGCTGAACTGGCGGGTGGTGAGCCGAACTGGCAAGTGGTGAGCTGAACGGGGCGGGTTCCTGTCTTGTGCCAGCTCCGAGGCTGTATGTGCCATGTGGGGCTTGAGCAGTGCCTGCGCCGTGAAGGAGGAGGAGATGTGGGACCCGGCAGTCAGTGTCAAAGACAACTACTGCCAGGTCCCTGGAAGGCTGCCTCAGGTCCCCACAAGCGTGGGAACTTAGGCAGCCGATCTGATTTAAAAACTTAAAGGGCTGGTATCGGCCTTTAGTATCGGGGCATTTTCACAAGTACAAGTACAATGGCCTGTATCAGCACCGATACTAGTATCAGTATCGGGACATTCCTACAGTAGTGCATACAGATTTATTATAGATATGGCACTGTAGACCAAGAGCCTCTGAGAACAAAAACTGATCACAGAAGCTATATACTGTATGTATTAATGATCAGAACAGTCAGTCATCCTTTGCCCTTGTTTGTTCACTCCAAATGAGCATCCCCACTGTGGTGTTTTTGCTGAAGGACTAAAGCTGGCCATACCCCAGTAGAATTTTGTCCACAAATTTTCCTTTCTCAAATCTTGTTTGATTTTGTAATGGTTAATGGAGTCTAATTGACTTTAATTTATTTTGTTTATTTCTGACTGTGGTGACAAGGAAAATGGAAGGGTGAGGATGGAAATTTCTTCTTGTCGAAGGATCAGGATGGGAAATGTTTCTTGCTTATCTGAACGAACGTAAATGCATTTTTCCTTCAGGGAAAATCATACATATTGTAGTTCATGTGTGCTAGGCACGAGAAAAAAAACCTGTTTGCTATGTCTGGGATTCCATTCATGTAGCAGGCCTGAACAAAATTTTTAAGGACTTTTGAATAAATGATAATGATGGCAAGAGCAAATGTTCTGACGAATGAGTTTGAACGAAGATTTTAATGAAATATTACCAGTGTATGACCAGCTTAATATACAGTTGAAGTGTTATTGTTAAAGAAGTGTGTGCGTGTGTGTGTGTATGTGTATGTGTGTGTGTGTATATATATATATATATATATATATATA